TGGAAGCAGCACTATCAAAGGCGACGAATAATTGCCGCATCGCGGAGTCATGTCCAGCGTCAGCCAGAGTCTGTGCTAAAGTCGCAGAAGGAGCATCGCGCCTAACATCGAAGGCCGCGGGACCCTGAAACGGTTGCCAAAGCATAACTCGCACGGTGCGGTAGGGCGGGTGGCTACGAAAATACTCCGCTAAGCGGCCTGTTGACGTGGCAAAATGTGTGGACTGGCATGCAAGCTCATGGCACCAGCCAACAGTGCATGTTGGCGTTGAGTCGTAAGTCATGCCTGTGGCAGGCTTGGCCATTTCGTATACGTTTACCTGGGGTACCGCAAATGTGCCCGGAAGACGCGCAATGCAGTAAGCAAGGAGCAGAGGCCCGAAGCGTCGAAGCCCTACGCCCAGCGGCCAGAAGGGGAGTCCAGCCGAGCTGGAGTCAGGAACAAAACGTGAGGCAACACTGGAGGCAGCGACCGGCTGTGGATAGCACAGGTCGTGGCATCCTCTCCGGAGGCTTTCTTTCTGGAACACCTGTCCGCATCGCCCTGCGAGAGCACTGAGATCATCGGGCCACTCCCAAGCCTCAGAGCCGGTATGTACTATGGTGCCTGGCAAGTCCCATGCACTGATACCAAGAACTTCGGTAAGGACGGACCAAGAAACTTCTGGTGTGCACAGGCCACGAACCTCATCATCAACCCGGAGTGCCCAAACCTGTCGGCGAGACGTGCATGGGATAGTGCAATGAACACCCATAAAGGGGCATTCAAGATGCACGAGAGTGCCCACAGACGGAAAGGTGTCATCGAGTACACAACCCGATGCGGCTTTACGAATGGGAGCTGCAGCAGAGTACAACGGAGAGGCAAGATCGTGCCAGTGTGCCGGTGCAGTTTGAACAGCGATATCTCTACTTTCCGCGTCCTTAGTTATATCCCACAGGATCCTGTGGGCCTGAGCGTGGCTGTGTAGATCCCAGACCTGCGACTGCATTGCTGTGGAGGTGCGTAGGCCGAACAGATGTGCCCGAGCCATGTCAACCATCAGGTGGAGCTGCGCGTGTCCGTGACCAGACCGGCATTTAACAGCCGGTTGTTGCAAAGTGAGTAAACACTCAGGTTGGCGGTCCAACAGTACAGACCAGAAAGCCCCATGTCGTGTGCACTTGCAGGCATCGCGTAGCAAAGGCGGGGTCCGGTAATCTGATTCGATGGAATGCATTAATAAAGGCTGGGCAGCGTTCTCAACATCGAACAGAGTGATAGTGAGTATACTCTTGTCGCGATGTGGGAGACAAAAGGCTCTTGGGACCCCGGGCGGGAGTGACAACTGGTGGAAGTCAACATCAAGGCATCGCTGACGACCCTACCATTGGACGAGAGCAGTATGGATCGCCTGGGCTGTGACATGCTTCGGCACGACAAGACGGAGCAGATCTAGATCAGCGGTTGTGACGACGACTTCTTCAGTGACACCAGTGTCGTCAATGCCAAGCTCATGTCCATGGGCACAAAAGGCAGGCCACACAAGAGGCCCTATCTCGTACAACTCTTGAGTATCCTCCGAACCGATAATGACATCTCCATGTCGGAGGGCATGGCTAGAGGAGACATCAAGCCTGAAGGTGCGTTCTGGGAAGAGTTGCGCGAGGGCAGACAGGATCTCGCGCCCGGCCTGTGCTTTAGCGACGTCAAGGCAAAGAACCTCCTGACCTATGTCAACCAAAACGGTGCGCAGGTTAGAATCCCGAGAAGGCATAACCAGCTGGACACTGCGGCGCGAGAATTGTGGCTGCGCAAGAACAGGCTCGCTTCTACCCGGGGCGGTTGCGAGCTGAGCTAAGAGGGACTGTAAGGAGGAATGCGGCTCGCTGCCCATAACCCACATCCATTGCCATGCAGACGGTGAGTAGGCCTCGAAACAAAAGTGCAGGGACTGGCCCCGGTTCCCTATTCCTGAGAAATGCCCTACTAAAGGATCAGCGGGTGTTCGCAGTTGCCGTTGAGAGGCCAATCTGGCATGAGCCGCACATGAAGCTCGATCCCTCCATGACGGGGCTTCGTGATGCCAGTGGAGGGGTTCAGGTGGTGTTGCAGCAGGCGAACCGTATGCAGAGGACAGGAGCGCAAGCCAAACAACATACCCCGCTCCCGTGTGGCGAGCAAGCGCAAGAACGGCTGCAGTCGACCCGAGTCGCAACCAACGACTAGGTGTGGCTAGCTGCCGCACCGCAGCCGAAGAGTCATTCCCAGTACTCGGTACCGAGAGCGTTGTAGCACCTTGGCGGTGAGGCTGCCGCTGGATAAGCACAAAGGTGCGTGGGGTTACGCCAGTATGAGCAGCAAATGCATCAATCACCCGTTCATTGTGGAGCACAAGTAGCTGTCCCTCCTGCAAACGACGGTGCACGGGGTTGTGAGGATCGGGGTCGCCAAAGTGTCGAATCGCAGCTTGAATGCAGTGAAACGGCCTGGAGTCGTCAGGTGCACTAAATGCGACAAGAAGACCACCGAGTGGTCGCATGTCAACAACTGCGGGCATGTCAGTGCCTGCACACGGGACCGCCACAAACTGTATGGCCGGCAGCCCATCGAGGGGGGGCATGATGCGAGCAAAATGAAGAGCTTCTTGGGAACCCGTTTCGTGTCGCAAAAATGCCTGAAGAGCTGCTGACCGTATAATATTGTGGTCACTAGCCAAGACCCGAGGATCCCGTAGGTGACTGCGTGCCAGCATGACAACATAGCGGCCGTGAGCACGATCGGACACCTCCAATCTAGGAGCTGCTGTGCGATGTTGGCAGCTCCGCTGGAACCCCTTCCTGCGCCTCCTGGACTGTCGCTAGGTACGGTGTTTCGAGGAGGAGCCGCATGTGTGGGTCTTGAGAGGCTTCGCTGGGGACATATCCTCTGAATGGGCCTCCTCTCGCGAGCAACAAACTCGGGTACAACCACTCTTGGGCAGTTGAGGGTGCAAAACTGAAAGGGTCCAGCAGAAAGCCTAGGGACACCTGAACTGCGAGCAGTAGCCCCTGGGGAAGGTCGGGTAGAAGCTGGGGGCACTGCCGAACCTGATGTAGAAAGTCCTTCATATGGCTCAACAGCAGTGGTAAGGCGGCCTCGTCCTGTTCCTCCGTCACCCTTTGGATGCGCGTCCAAAGCACCTGGGCCGCCTGCATTACGACCTCTGCGGTAGCGGTATTGACTTGAAGGGGGAGGATGGCCTCTTGTTCTGGGTGTTGGGACAGTTCGCCTATGACTTCTGCACCCTGAGCGACGGCAAAGCGCATCACAAATAACCACCCCATAAACCAGGAAGACAACTCCGTATGCGAAGGCTCTGCTATATCCGGTACTAGTTCCTCGTCTGCGGTTGTTGTCATAGGCACTCTCTGAAGACCCTCTGGAGTGAGACCGGTGGCAGCAGATGCCCATGGTGCGGCTAACCCATTCAAGACCTGTTTGTCGGGGGCTCTTGGAAGGTCGTTCCTCTGTGCCGCGGGTCATCCGTTTCCAACGTCGTGGTGGTGTGGCCGGCATGGCTGTAGTCAAGGCTGTTGGGGTGATAGAGGAGGTCACCCTTCTGGCCCCAGGATCCGGCAGGGCAGTCAACGATGCGTCGACGGTGCTCGGTGGTATATCGCTCAAGCTGACCATCGACTGCCGCTCGAACAGTTCTGCCACCTCGGCTTGGTTGCTGTGCGTACCGCGACTATCTCCGGCAGTCTGGTGCCCCGCTTCGGTAGGTGGAGTCACGGAGCTGAAGGCTCGGAGGGCAGCTGCTATCCTGATAATTTCCTGCTCCTGTATCGCTGTCCACACAGGACCCATGCAGCGTTGTGCTTGGGCGATTTGCTCCTGCGTGGCAGCCGAAGGCTGCACTGCTAAATATGCCTGCATGTCCTGTATCGCAAGCACTGAGTCTTCGTCTACTTTGGCGCCCACAGCTCGTGCACGGCCAATAAGGCCGACCAGATACTGGCTTATTTGCGCAAGCCACGTCGCCAAAGCGGCCGAGAAATCTTGTCGTGCGCGCATATTGCCTGTGATACGCTTGGTGAGCTTCGCGGTGGCGTTCGACCTCCTCTGCGCCAGTTGTTCCGCTGTTAGGTCGTCGGATGCGAATGCTGATGACGCCCACAGATCCTGAGTCGCACGTGAGGAGATGGATTGCAAAGCAGTGACCATAGATGCTGGTAGGCCAAATTCCACTGTGGAATTTTGGGCGTTCTCGGCTTTCGTCTTCCCTTTGCCGGCACCCTTGGGCGGTGTAGCGGCTGCTGCCTTGGGAGCCATATTGCCGTGATGGCGTTGTAGCAATAACCAGTCCGCTCTGTTGTATCGCCTGTAGCGTAGTCTCCAGCGGGCCTTGGCTCGTTGGCGCCGAAGGCGGCGGTGCCACGAAGGGCTGGGCGCACGTCGGCGGCGACGATGTAGCACCACTTTGTCCGCAAAGGATCAAGACCAGCCCCAGAATAAGCAGCGGTAAAATCGGCAAATACCGCCGCGAATGAGACATGTAATATCAAAAGCTGAGAAGAACCAGCTGCTAACGGCACAAGGCAGCGTTAGCAGGGCAATATGGGAGAGCGCCTCCCCAATCGCCGAAGCAGCGGCGAGAAAATGGAATACCGGCCCAGCGATAAACCAATTGTGATTGGCACAGTGAAGTGCAGCAATCAGTCGCCCCCGGCGACGGCAGTGCCCGTCTGAGGGCAGGTGCAGCGCATGCACGAAATGGCGTGCTGGGGTTGGGAATGCACAGAAGGCTACCCACTCCTACTGGAGACGGCAGCGCTAACTTGTGCTCGAGCCGCAACGCCTCATTCCCTAAACCCTAAATCCTAAATCCCCAAAACGCTAAACCCCAAACCCCTAAACCCCTACTGAAGCCCTGCACCCTAAACCCTAAACCCAGAAGCCACCAAAATTCTAAAGCCCCAAACCCTAAAGACCTAGGCCCGCAGAAACGCTTTAAAGCTCTCCGAGTACCCGAAGCCCAGGATCTGGCAAGCTGGTTCCGAGCCTTTCTTCTCAAAGGACACTGAGGTTATATACTGCACTCTATTGTGCGTTTAGGGCTTAGGGTTTGGGGTTTAGGGTTTGGGGTTTAGGGTTTAGGGTTTGGGGTTTCGGTGGTTTAGGGTTCAGGGTTTAGGGGCACTATAGTGTATGGTTTACTAAAGACAACAATATACAAACTACAACCATAACATACTACAGCTTCCTCGAAATTCAATCACAATATTCTCGGGTGTACTATAGTGTGCGATAGTAATTTTACGTTTAAGGAAATTGTAGTAGATGGAATCATATTCTATACTGTTGAGTCGTGTAATTTACCATATAATGTAACTTAGTATATCTTCTCGAAGGACACAGAGGCCTACATCCAGCTGGTGATCGAGGCGTGTGAGATGTTTGTCGTGTCATTTCTTTTTGAAACGGGGGAAGACCTGAAGCCCCCTCAAAACCCTCAACCCGAAACTCCAAAGCCCACATCCTGGCGCCAAAAAACCCAAAACCCGAAGCTCCGAAACTAGACCTTTGACCGCAAACCGCAGGTCCCCCAAGCCTTAAAACTTAAACCTCAATCCCACCTGTGCAAGAGCTATCGCCGCTGGCCCTGGCAGTGGCATCGAAATTTGTGCTCAGGGTTTAGGGTAAGATTACGGTTCTGGGGGTTAGGCGCGCTTGTTGTTTTCCAAAATGAAGCGTGTAGGGACTTGCTCGGAAACTTCAGGGCAGGCGGTTTCTTGTTGACATGATGCCCGGCACTTTGCTCGCGGGCCCAGTCCCCCCCACACCCTATCTCTAAGCCCTAGTATAGGAGCCACAAGTAATTACAAACATTATTCCTGAGGGTTCCTTACTATAAATACTATAAATACACTAGCTACGACAAACCTAGGCCCAAGCTGACAAACCTGGCTCCAGGTGTTGATGTGCATGGAGTTCATCACTCATTTCGTCTCGTCGTCCTCGAAGAAGGCCACTTGGATGGCCAATCGATACCAGCCTCCAACAGTAAGAGATCGGGGTTCTCGAACATGGGAGCAGCTCATTTCGGTGCCCTTACTGCAATTATAACAAGGCTCCGATGCGTGAAGGTGATACATGAGTGAACCTCCCGAAGACCGGACGAGCAGCTGGGCAACGAACAGTGGCAGCAGCAACATGGCAATCGTGTTTTCAATAGTGGATTTAGGAGATGTGATTCGCACTGTCGTCGTCCTGGGTTTCTGGCCCTGGCACAGCCCCTGCTCCTGTATGTAGGAAGTGCTACAGCAGTGACACCTTCGAGTAATTAGCCTACGCTCGGTGTTATCCCATGTGCCAAGCCCTGCGACTGAGGCTTTCTGCAAGAATCCGTACAACTTCATCGATTTCGCTGCCTTGATACCGCTTGGAGTGCGATCTGCCTACGGCTTGACGACCCCGGCTGCCGCAGAGAATTTGATAGCGCACCCGAGCTGACCGATTAGATTGAATCTGCTTTCCAGCATAACAGGGCGCGGTTGTGTGGATCCTGGTGTACACCCCAGTGTAATCAGCCCATTTTTCTTGTCTCAAAAGTCTCTCCCGACCTGGGACCCCAACCTAGAAGACCAGAAATAGTAGGAGAAATCCTAGCATCGAAGCCCCAACAGGCATTCCATACTGGTCTGCTACGTCCCTGTGCCTCGGCAGAGCAAAGCTCCTTCTTCCGAGGTTAGATTTCCTTGACAACGTGTTCAGGCTTCAGGGTTTAGGGGGGTTGCAGAGTTTAGGATGTCGGCTTTGCTGTTCAGGCCAGGACGTTTTGCGCGAATCGTGAGTTTAGGATCTTGGCACCTCAAAGAGTAAGTAATGCCGAATGGCTACACTCCTACGCCCAAAGCAACACTTCCTCATTGACGAGGGTAGCAGGGAATGCCTTGTCGTCCCAGGTCTTGGATCTTAACTGGTCAGCCGTCCCGAAGATCCTTTGCAGTGGATGCAAGGAATTCAACGACCCCTATCAACTCCTCAACCCAAACGCTCGACTGTTTATCTTCTAAGCCGCGGACCCATGAGAAGGCCCAAGGGATCAGGGGGCAGCAATCCTCTTGAGGTGGTTCGACAGCTGAAGCTCATACGGCGGTTTCAGAAGCTGCAGCTTCTGCTGTGCCCTGGATGCACATGGGTAGTTCTCAAATTTTGGGTTTTAAACAGGGACCCGAATTTAAAACAACTACACACATGATAATTTCCAGACTCTCGGAAAGTGTAGGGTTGAAGTTGCGGCATTCCGGGTGCACCACAGGTTTAGGGTTTAGGGTTTGCAGTCGATGTCTTCACGGGACACTCCTTAGTCTTGCCATTCAACTCGGAATACGCGCAGTCTACGACCTTAAGCGCAAGTGGTTTGGAGACATCCCGCGTGTAGAGTGTAGAGCCCAGGAGTACTCCTAAAGTGTGCTTTGTGGTACATTATAGTACCCAAATTAAAAGCTTCGTAGTAATGTTGTGTAGTAACCTTGCAGTACGGTTCGTTTCTCGTTCCCACCGAGTTCGAGTCTCGGTGTCCTAAACCTCAAATCCAACTGTGCCCTAAACCCTGCCAGCCCTACCTTTGAAGCCTGAATCCTTGCGAGGAGGATGCCTTCTTATAACCATACTAGCCTGGACACCAAGACCCTAGTCTAACTAATACGGCCCCTAAATTGCACGCGAATCCGAGAACCCTGAGCCCTGCAATGTTGCACTCCGAGCAGCCGAGCATCATGGTCCTCGTCACCCCAAAGCGGTTGGCTCGAGGCATGTGTTGTCCACCACGCTTGACGCCCTCAAGCTCCTTCTTTTCCTTGTGTGTTTGATTGCACCTCGGTTGCATTGCACACTGAATCTGATCAGAGCTTAGAAGACCCTGAGCCCTAAACTCTAAACCCGGCATTTCGGAGTTTCGAGTTCAGGGTGGCCAGGCCGAATGCTGCTGGAGTTCGGGTCTCAAGATGTGCGATGCATCGCCCTTGACCCAATTCTCAATGCTAAGCCCCAAAGGCTCTCTCAGTATCCCCGGGGAAGGAAGTGGACCATGATTGGATGTCATCAAACCAGCGCCTGGAGACATGACACAGGGAAAACCAAGACCACGCACTGGCACAAACTAAGCCACAAAGCTTTGAAGCCTGAGACGCCAAGGCACGTGCACACGATCCCTTACCCTGTGCCAGAGACCCGAAAGCCCTCAACCCTAAATCCTAAATCCTTTCAGCCCAACACCCCAAAACCTAAGCCCCAAAGCCTTCAACCCCTTACCCCTAAAGCCTGCGTGCTAAACCCTACACCCGGAAGAAGATGCCAAGTCAGACGGTCTTACGAGGCGAAGCCTTCCACCGACTTGAGAGGGGAATAGGTGGGGAGGCAGGGTTTATGGGTTTAGGGTTTAGGGTAGGGGGTTGAGGGTCTCGGGATTAGGGTTGTGGGTATGGCAGGTGCTGTTCTTTGGCACGATGCTCTACATTGCTGAGCCTGTGGATACAACCACGCTGCCGACCTACATCTACTGGTGCACAGTCACTGTCACTACAGTGGGGACATGTACCTTGGCCCTTCTCAGTAGGGCATCCAGAAGCTAACCTTGAAGAGCAGCTCATGTAGAAACTTCTGATGACAGCATTCGATTCAGCCGCGCTTGGTCCTTCATACCGACACAGCAGGGCTAAATGAATGTATGTCCATTGACGCATCGTGTCCATCACAGCATGTGGGTTACACTAAATCGGGATCGGCCCTGATGTCTTTCTTGGGATTCGATTAATAACACTTGGGCACCGTGGATCATACATACATACATGCATACATGCATACATAAATACATACATACATACAAACAAATAAATAGATAAACATATCTGTATATATATATATGTATATGTATATGTATATGTATATGTATATGTATATGTATATGTATATGTATATGTATATGTATATGTATATGTATGTGTATGTGTATGCGTATGCGTATGCGTATGCGTATGCGTATGCGTATGCGTATGCGTATGTGTATGTGTTTGTGTTTGTGTTTGTGTTTGTCTTTGTGTTTGTGTTTGTGTTTGTGTTTGTGTTTGTGTTTGAGTATGTGTATGTGTATGTGTATGTGTATGTGTATGTGTATGTGTATGTGTATGTGTATGTGTATGTGTATGTGTATGTGTATGTGTATGTGTATGTGTATGTGTATGTGTATGTGTGTATGCATATGTATATATGTGTGTATATATATATAATTAATGAAAGCACCTCAAGCATGGAATCAGCGGCTCATGAATGCCTGCTCTTAGAGCTGAAGTTCAAACGCGTCCGGCCCTAGGCATCAACTGCAGGCCCTTCATTCTGCAATCCGACGCCTTAAGCCTTAAACTTGAACGCCGAAGCCCTCAGCCATGCAACCCAAAGCCCTAAACCCCCGCATCCTAAACCCTGAGCCCCAAACTCCTCCTTTCTCTCCAAGCCCTGAGCCCCAAGCCCTATAAACCCCTAAACCCTAAGCCCCAAACCCGAAAGTCCCTAAACCCTGAACTTTTTCCTTGAATGCTTCCCCTCCCGACCTGAGGCGACATGGCGCCTGTGACCTGGTCCGGGAAGGCCGGTCCGGTGAAGAGGGTTTTAGGGTTATTTGGGGGTTTGGGTTTCTTGGGGCGTTTGGCCAGGGTTGTCTAGAGTTTGGGTTTGATGTGTGTTCATTTCTTTTTTTTTTGTCAGGGTGCGGTGTGGTGTTTTTTTTCGCTTGGAGCTTTTCGGGTTGTTTTCGGCGTCAGGCCCTGTTCAGGCAAATTGTATACAGTGCATAAACATGACTACAAAAGCATACGACATGCGAATCTTACAGGGGTTCAATGGGGCCTTCTGGAATGTGTCTCGTCTTGCTTCTGGTACGTCAGCCCTAAACCCTGAACCTCAACCCGAAGCCCAAAGCCCTAAAACGAGGAGTTGGTGGCGCTGAAGTCAGTATCCTAAGGCCCGATGCTCTCGTAGCTTTAGGGTTCAGGGTTTAGGAACCCTTGTAGTTATTGGGATTGTAAGGGCCGGCCGTAAGATGTCAATGCCGGTGAAGGGACAACGCCCCGTGCCAAGAAGAAGCAGTAGAATAGCATTGTGCGGCTCTGGGTGTGGGGTTTAGGGATTTTTCCTGGTTTAGGGGTTTAGGGGTTGCAAGCTCCACGCCCCAAAGACCGCCTGAGACCACGAAGAGGTGATGGCTGGAATCTTGTGCCTCATCAGTGTACTCTTCATGGCAATGCCCCTTTCCGCGCCTTTCCTGGCACTTTCCTACTTTAGGTCCAGGGCTTACTAACCCTAGTCCCGGAACCCGAAGCACCCAAGAAACCCAAAACACCCCAAAAGCTCCCGAACCCCTCGAGAATATTCGCACCCCTAGAGGCTTCTTGCATGGCTTTTCGGAGTTCGAAGGCTCTTTGGGCGTAGTGTTGTTCGTTTTGCCTCTGCGTCCCAGTGTCCGGTTGTGGAAAAGCAGCTGTCTTAGGTCCTGGGCAATGCCATGTCGAAGACGTGGGACGACCGACATCGAATTCTCCTGCCACTTGGCTCTGTCAGGCCATCGCAAACCCCGAACCCATGGGACCAAAGCCTACAGACACAACGCCCCAAACCTTCCGCGGCTAGGACTATCCGACGCCTCTCTTGAGTCCTAAACCCAAAACTGAAGAAGTGGCATCCTACACCGTGGTTGCAAGGCAGAGATATCCCACACACCCAAGCTCCCGAGCCGTTGAGCTTTGCCAGGTTTTCACGGAATGCGTGCGCCATTGTTGATCTGCCTGCAGTCGCGCTACCTTTCGTGTTGTATCTGCGCTTAACCACCAAAGCCCCACAGTCTGAATTCCGAAACCCTAGGCCCTAGGCCCTACCACCCTGAACCCTACAGAATAAAGCCCAAACCCATCCGAGGATGACGCAGACACGACGGCGCCTGAAGCATTTAGGCTACTGTGCAGGCTCGTGATAGTCATAGAGATTGTTTTGGCTTTGGGGTTCAGGGAAATTTTTAGGGTTTCAGGATGCTGAATTTGAGCACGGCTTGGGCCTTTGGGGTTTCGCGTTAGTTTTAGGTGCTTAATGTTTTCAGGGCTTACAGATTGGAGGCCATGCTGGATTGCCAGAGTCCCTGAGCCTTATAAACCTCAAAATCCCCAAACCGCATCAACCGCGAAAAACCCTTAAAGTCCCTTTTGAAAGAAGCCCAAAGGAGAGACCCCTAAACTCCTGTAAAGAAAGCCAACTGAAAGCCAGTGAAATCCCTTAAACAAGCCCGAAGGAAAGCCTCTCAATGCCCTTTCAACATAGACAAGCCCAAAGGAAAACACTTGAACTCCTAAGCTCTAAGCCCTAAACCTAAAATCCTTGAAGCAAACCCGACACCCCTTGCCAGACGACATGCCCAAGCTCTTCAAGAAGTTCGACAGAGACGGAAATGGCGAGCTGGAGATGGAAGAGTTCTGCGCCGCCCGTCTTGGGACTTTGGGGGGGGTTCAGGGGTTGCATGGGTTTAGTGGTTTAGGAAATTGGGGGTGAAGGGTTTAGGGCTTAAGGCTTAAGGGTTTGGGGGTTTAGTTTTGTAGGTTGAAGTACTTGCAAGCAGGGTTGCAAGCACAACAACCCGGGTTTTCAAACACCTCCAATTCTAGTTGCCTTGCTCCGAACCCCTGCTTGCTAGGTCCCCCAAGCCTTGCAAGAGGCTCTTGCAAGACTCATCACACGAAATGCATGTGCCGAAACGTGATCCTCAATAGCATAGCGCGACCTAGTGGGATCGTTATTCTCAGGACCCTAACCCCTTAGCCCTAAAACCCTAGAGCCCCAAACNNAGAATAATGGACTTGTGGCTGAGTCATCATTATGGCTAGGATTCATTTGGGGGTTAGCTGGCATGGGGTCTTTAGGGTCGCAGGCAGTCCGGACTTATGGGTGCAACTTGTACCTGCGGTGCAGTGAGCAGCCGCAGCTAAGCCCGGAAACTTGAACAGAATCCTCAGCCTAACTAACCTCTTCACTGCCTACACCAATCTACATCATGAATAACCCCTAGACCCCAAACCACAGACTCCCCCCCCCCCCCCCCCCCCCCC